GGCAGCTAGGTGGCCCAGTGGATAGAGCTCCAGCCTTGGAGTCAGGAGGACCTGAGTTCAAATCTGGCCTCAGACACATGACACTTACTAGCTGTGTGACCCTAGTCAAGTCACTTAACCCCGATTGCCTCAGGCAAAAAAAAATCTTTAAAAATTGCAACCATTTATTTTCTATTGTTCCCATTCCCCATCACCACAATTGAAAAAAAGAAAGAAAAAATCCTTGTAACAAATATGAATAGTCAAATAAAACAAATTCCTTTATTGGCAATATTCTAAATGTATGTCTTATTCTACATATTTGGTCCATTCTCTCTATTAGAAGGTGGGTAACATTGTTCATCAACAGTCTTCTGGAATCATAATTGGTCATTGTGTTGGTCAGAATTCTTATGTATTTCCAGTGTGTTTATTTTTACACTGTTGTTTTTATGCTACAAATTGTTCCCCTGGTTCTACTCATTTCATTTAACATCAATTGATACAAGTCTTCTCTGGAACTATCCATTTTATCATTTCTTACAGTATAATAGTATTCCATTATATTTGCATACCAAAATTTGTTTACTCATTCCCCTAGTTGATTGGTACCCCCTTACTTTCCAATATTTTGCTACCACAAAAGGTGTTACAAATGTTTTTGTTCATGTGGGTCTTTTCCCTCTTTCTTTGATGTCTCTGAGGTATAAGCATAGTAAATTGTATGGCTAGGTCAAATGGTGTGCACAATCTAGTAACTTTTTTTTGGCATACTTCCAAATCACTTTTCAGAGTGGCTGGACCAACTTAAAATTCCACAAACAATGCACGTATCTGTTTTTCCTGAGCTCCTACAACATTTGGTGTTTTCCTTTTTTGTCAACTTTGACAATCTGATGGTTATGAGGTAGAACCTCAGAGTTGGTTTAATTTACATTTCTTTAATTATTGGTGATTTCGAACCTTTTTTCAATATGGGTATTGATAATTTGGATTTCTTCCTGTAAGAATTCTCTGTTCATATACTTTGATCATTTATCGTTTGGGGAATGACTCTAATTCTTCCAATCAATTTCTTATATATCTTGAAAATGAGACCATTATTAGAGAAATTTACTGCAAAGATTTTTCCCCCAGTTAACTATCTCTCTGTTAAACTTAGCTACATTGGTTTGGTTGGTGCAAAACTTTTAATTTTATGTAATCAAAATTGCCCATTTTATCTTATGTGATCCTTCTGGTCACAGACTCTTCCCCTATCCAGATAAGAAAGGTAATTTCTTCCTTTCTCCTTCATTTTTTTATGTGACCTTTTAAATCTAAGTCATATAACCATTTGGATCTTATCTTGGTAAATGATGTGAGGTGTTAGTCTCAACCAGACTGCTTTCCAGTTTTCCCAGAAGTTTTTGTCAAATAGTGAGTGTTTACCTCAGTAGCTGGGGTCATTTGACAATGTAACCACCCTGGTAAAGTGCCTCCTCACTTCAGATCTGGACTATTTCTATGGCCTGCTAGTTGGTCTCCCTGCCTCTTCCCCCTCCAATTTTTCCTTCATTCAGCAGTCAAACTGATATTCCTAAAGGGCAGGTCTAACCATTTCACCTCCCTATTCAATAAACTCCAGTGGCTCCCTAATACCTCCATGATCAAATATAAAATCTGTTTGGCTTTTAAAACCCTTTGTAACCTAGCCTCTTCCTACCTTTCTAGTTTTCTTACACCTTATTCCTCTCCATATACTCTGCAATCCAGTGACACTGGCCTCCTTGGTGTTCTTCTAACTCACTCCTCCTGACTCTAGGCATTTTCACTGCCTGTTTCCCATACCTAAAATGTCCTCCCTATTCACTGCCACATCATAGCTTCCCTAGTTTCTTTCAAATGTCAGTTAAAATCCCACCTTCTGCAATAACTCTTTCCCAGTCCTCCATTGTCTTCATGCCTTCCCTTTGAGGTTATGCCCAATTTATTATGTATATATCAGGTTTGTACAGAATTGTTTGCATGTTATTTTCCTTCCCCCACCATTAATTTGTGAGGTTCTTGAGAGCAGGACCTGGTTTTATTTGTTTGTTGACTTTTTTGAATCCCTAGGTCTTAGCAAAGTGCCTGGCACATAGTAGATGCATAATTAATAAACACTAGTTGATGGGGAAAAAATTTTACAGCAAGTTTCTCTGATAAAGCCTCTTTTCTCAAATATGTAGGGAAATGAACCAAATTGATAAAAATAAGAGCCATTCCCTAGTTGAAAAATGATCAAAGAATATGAACAGGCAGTTTTCAGAAGAACTCAACACTGTCAATAGTCACATAAAAATGCTCTAAAGCATTATTGATTAGAGACATGTAAATTAAAACAATTCTGAGATACCACCTCATACTTATCAGATTGGCTAGCATGGCAAATAAGGAAAACAACAAATGCTGGAAGGATGTGGGAGAATTGGGGCACTAATGCACTGTTGGTGTCATTGAGAACTGGTCCAACCGTTCTGAAGAACAATTTGGAACTACACCCAAAGTTTCATAAAACTGTGTGTACCCTTTGACCCAGCAATACCTGTACTACGTCTGTATTCTAAAGAGATAAAAGAAAAGGGAAAAGGGCCTATTTGTATACAAATATTTGTAGCTCTTTTTGTGGTGGCGAAGAATTGGAAATCAAAGGGGTACCTATCAATTAAGAAATGGCTGAACAAGTTGTGGTATATGATTGTAATGGAATACTATTGTGCTATAAGAAATGATGAAGGAGATGGTTTCACAAAAACCTGCAAGACTTATATGAACTGATACAAAATAAAGTGAGCAGAACCAGAACACTGAACACAGTAACAGCAATATTGTAAGGATGATCAACTGTGAAAGACAGCTACTTTGATCAAGACAATGACCCAAGACAATTCCAAAGGACCCAGTTAAAAAAATGCCACCCACCTCCGGAGAGAAAATTAATTAGATCTGAATGCAGATTGAAGCATACTTTAAAAAAAAAACTTTATTTTCATTGTTTTCTTTTGCAACATGACTGTTATGGAAATGTTTTACATGATTTCACATGTATGATCGATATAAAATTGCCTTCTCAAGGATTGGAGTAGGGAAGGAGAGAGGGAATTTGGAACTCAAAATTTTAAAAAATGATTGTTAAAATTTTTTTACATATAATTGGGAATCATTTAACAAAATATAAATAATTTTTTAAAATAAATAAATGCTATTTGACTGACTTTGAATTTATGGAACATTAAGGCTACTATATTGTTTGCTTTTATATGTTGTGTACCCAATTTGTTCTATTTTTTTAACCAGCACTAAGTCAGCTTGATGATTATGCTTGAGATCTGGTACTACTAGGTTCCCTTCCTTCCCACTTTTTCATTATTTCCCTCAAGATTCTTGAACCCTTGTTTCTCTAGATGAATTTTCTCATTTTTTCTACCTCTATAATTATTTGGTACTTGATTAAATATTTGATTAATATGGCATTGAATAAGTAAATTTAGATCATTTTGTCACTTTTTATTATATTAGCTTTGTCTATCCATGAATATTTCTCCAATTATTTAGATGTCTATTTTCATAGTGTTTTATATTCATATAGTGCCTGTATTTTGTACATTGTGTAGTTTTTTAAATGAGAAATACTCATGTGGATTTATTTTATACTTTACTCAAGTTATATTCATTGTTAGCACCCATTTTGCTTTCAGTTTTTACTTCCTTCACAAAAAGCGCTCAGGATATTTTGGCAAATATGAGTCCTTTCTGCCTCTGATGTCCTCGGAGTATATACAAGAAGAGTATTTTACTGTTCTTGACATCTCACTGTCCTTCTAGTTGACTAACTTAATTGATTTCTAATTGTTATCCAACTTGCTGGGTCTGAGGTGAAACCTTTTTAAAAATTTTAATTATTATTAAAGGTAATAATGTTTTACATATTTGTGATAATTCCTTACTACTGTTGTGTACACAAAACTTGCCGTACTTATTTGTTGTAAAGATTTTTTCC